CAAAAAAGTGTCATCTCTAGCATGACATGCAAGCAGCTAGTCCTCTAGCCTAATCTTGTCATTCTCCTATATTATATAATCATCACAGTCCAACAAAAAGAAAATGCAAGGGTAAGTACAAAATAAAAAGGACAACATAGTATAAAAGTAGTAACATAGCTACACAAGCAACTTATCCAACACCACACAACACCAGTCCAAGGGCCAACGTAACTTAGCAACATAGTATAAGAACAACACAACAACTTACAACTTAATACAACTTAATAACATCAACTTAAACAACATTGTAATCATAACAACATAACATCATAATGTGTTGTCACACATTTCAACTAAGAGATCTCTTATAACATAGGTGAGTTGTCTAGGCATTTTGACCCTTTCAAATCAACTTAACAACGTGATCTTTTTGAGCTCACTAGATCAACAACAAATTTGGATATCAATCAATAACACAGCGTAATTTTTCAGATTTTGTCACTTAAACTAAAAAAGTTCAATATCCCTGTTAAGATTATAACAACTTGTGTATGAGCCTACTACGACCTTAGTATGCATGATTAAACCTATATGGAATTAGTCCATTAACCAACCTCCAAATATTGCACACCTTTCCAATACTTAGTTAAGAATTTTAGCTCCCGATCTTGTACTTGTAACAACCCTTCCTGACTACTACACTTACGGAATCACTATATTACTAGCAACGAAAACTAATTAGATAACTAGAATGTAACATGTTACTAAGAAAAAAAATCACATGAACATACACACATAAAATATTCATTTAAAAAATAAACGTAAAAATTTAGAAGAGACAAAAAGAAAACAGATTAGTAATAATTATTTTTATTCTTTTAATTTTTATTATTTCGTTCCTACAATATTAAACAAGTTGCACAAAATAAAAAATTCACACTTTAATTAATATAATCTAAATAGAGATACAAAATGATAAATTGTTAACCTATTGAACTATAATTTATATATAAAAAAATATTTTTTTAAGATTTTATCAAAAAATGTTTATTTTATTGAAATTTATTATATTTTTATTCTTTGAGAATTTTATAAAATATTTTATTGCCTGTATTTTCTGTATCTTATACCTTGCCATCACTATTAGTTATTTTTAATTTTAAATAAATATACGTAGACATTCGTGTTTTTTTTCCATAACATAACATAAAGAGGGATTGCAAAAATATAAGCCTCTCCTATGTAAATATTGTGATTTTGATATTTCCATAATTTTTTAACTATTTTTCTATAAGTATTCTTTTGCAAAAGATACGATTAAATATTGAATTAATGTAGGTGTTATTTTAATAAAGATTTACATGGTATGATGGTTAGTCACGTTTCATACATAATTAATATATACTTTGTACTTATAAGGTAGTAATAAAAGGAAATAATAATTTGTTTTAAACTCAATTTTGATCTCTATTTTTTATTGGTATAATTAAATAATAATATCTTTTTAGTGTAAAACTGTTTCTTCCCATTTTCTAGTCAAATTATTTGCAATTTAAGATATAAAAATGATTTCAAATATTCACAAACTAGAAATGCAACAAAAATTTGATAGATTTTTTAAGATTTTAATTTCTAAAAGTGGAAATATTGAGTTTTTTTGTTGGTTTGGGATAAGTTTTCTAATTAGTAAAGTTATGCCAATTAAAGTTTAAGTAAGAAAAATTGACAAAAATAAAAAAAGAAAAAACTTAGGAGTTATTGGATTGAGATTTTGAAGGATTTTAAAAGATTTTGTTTTATATAAAAAAGTATTATGATATTTAATCAAGATTTTCAAATAATATATTCATGACTTTTTTTAGCACAAAAAGGTCTTGTAATTTTTAAAAGACTTTGTAAGAATTTAATAAATTTTAAGATTTTTTTAAAAGACTTTGTAGAAATGTATTAATTTAAAAAAAATTATATGACTTTTTTAATCAAGATTTTGTAATATAAATTTTAAAGGAGTTGTATCAATTTATAAGATTTGAAAGGATTTTATTAAATTTCAAAAGATAATATGGATTTTTTGTTTAAAAACAATACAATTAATAAAAACATAACATAAATGACAAGGTTTTGAATAAAAAAAATTAAAAAAATCAATAAAATTTTCAATCTTTTAATAAATAATTGAATATGATTTCATGTTCTTTTAAGTAATATTCTCTAAGTATAATTTTTTATGTATTTATATTTTTTCATTCACACTATTAAATTTGTACAACATATTCAAATTTATGATATTAATTAATTGGTAGAGTTATCAAAATATATTTTTAATATATGTTTAAAATATTGAAAATAAATATTTGTTATATTTTAATAATTTAAAAATTTTAACTATATAATATTTAATAATTCAAAAAATAGTTTTAAATATTAATAATAAAAAAATATATTGATAAATTATATTTCAAAGGTGAACAAAAAGAGAAAGAGAATATAAAATAAAAAAGACACAAGAAGACAGAGAGGAACAAAAAAAGTAAGATAAGGAAGAAAGAAACAAAGAAAGGAGAACCAAAGAGAAAAAAACATGTGAGAGAGCCAGAGGGGAAAAATAGAAGAGAAAAAGGTGAGAAAAAATGAGGAGAAATTAATAATAATAAAAATTCACATAAAATTTTAAAAGTTTTGATGAGATTGTTGAATGAGTGAATTATCTGTAAATTTTACTAAAAGTCTTATAAAAGTCATCTTTCAAAATAATCCATTAAAATTTTTATGTTTTTGAATACTAATAGACATTTTTTTAAATGAAAAAAGTCTTAATTGAATACTATAAAATTTTAATGTACTTAAAAAAAAAGACTTTGATGTACTTTTTAAAAAATCTCAATTGTCTTAATTAAATATCATATGATTTTTTTATATTAATTTTTTTATGAAACACTATAAAACTATTTTGTAATAATAAAATCTTTTGAAATTTTAATTCAATATATTCTTTTTAATTTTTTTAAAAGAGCAATGAAATTGGGTGATGTTTAATTGACCTTTTTTCCAATTTATAAAAATCTTCTGGAATTCAAAAGTATACGATAAATTATTTTGTAAAATAAATTTCATATGACAGTTTAGTAAAAAAAATATAAATAGATACTCTTCCAACAATCTCACTCAATCGAATAAGACTTTTCTACGCTCTCTTTTTTCTTCTTTTAACTACACTTTTTGTCTTCGTTAGAAAATATTTCTCTTCCTAAAAAAATATACAAACATTTGTTTTTCATCCAATTCTCCACTCCTTTTTTACAGTCAGGTACTTTTTTATATATTTTTTTTCTTTTTATTTGTAATAGTAAAACTTTTCATTATTAATGATAATATTTTCTATAAATTAGATCGCTATACATAATACCTATTTTGTTCACTTAAATTAAAAGTGTTCTCTCAAGAAGAAAAAAAAACTCATTGGAATAGCCATATTTTTATTATTGTTACTGTTTATGTTAAATGCGTATTGTTGAAGGTGATTTTTTTTTTATGATTTTTTCTCTATGTGATTTTTTCTTTATATTTTTTTATATTATTTATTTGTATAATATGTGATGAGGCACATAAATATTATATATATTTTTATTATTTAAATATTTATTTATAAATATCATATGATTCTTTTTATGATAATGCAGATTGTTTTTTTTCCTGTATGATCATATACTGATTTGAATATATAATATTTGATAATATTACTATTATTATGATATATATATATAGCAATAATAATATATTGTTATAATATTACTTTTAAATATATATTTTAAGATTTTATTCATATTTTATTTTTCAAGTAAAATTATTTTTTATTAATATAATAATTATTCTTGTGAACTAATTTCATACATATATTGTATTCTGGTCTTATTACTAGTTTTTTTTACATTATAAATAAAATCATTTAAAAAATAAGAGTGTCTTTGTATGAATTTTTAATTAAATTAGTAGATGAATCTTCATTTTTAGTTTTACTAGTTAATGATATTGTTCAAATTCAAGAACATGAAAAAGAATGTCAATGTATGAAGAGTTAGTATAACTTTGAATACGTAGAAAAATGTTAATTAAAAAAACATGAAATTATAGTTAATTATTTGTCAAAAAATAAAAATTTTATGTTAATTTTACTTTTATTTATTTATTATTTTTTTTATCAAATGCTTGTAGCAATGTTTTACAATTTTTTTTTTGTGAAATCTATAAAATTTGTTGAAATTTTAAGATATAAATTCATCAAGATTTATTAAAATCCAAACTACAAAACTTTGATTAAAATCCATATTTTAAAAATCTTTTAAAAAAATCTTGATAAATATGATATTCTTAAAAAGTTTTTCAAAATTCATTAAAATCTACAAAAAATTTTAATGCTAAAATAATCTTTCAAAATCTCAAATATTAATAACTCAATCATAATAATCCATTTTTAATTTATTGTTGAGATCAGAGAATCCATTAAAATGCAATATTAAACATTTATTTACTAAACAATAAATAAATAATTTTTTTAGAAATTTATTTATTTTTATCATTATAGATAGATAGGATATGTAAATATTCTAAATAAATATTATATTATATTAGATATTTAATTTATATTAATTTGATTATAAAAAATTAATAATTTTAAATTCAGATTTATATAAAAATAAATAAAAAATTAATGTGCATTATTATTACTGATCAATCAAAATATCTATAAAAAGCGATGAGGGAGAAAAACTTTCAAAATTTTTATAGTAAAAAATTCATTTATACATGTTATATCACATGAAAAAAAATCTATAACAACAACACAAAAACTGCCATTCATTAGCCAATTAATTTCCCCCCCAAAACACAATTAAAATTTAAAAAAGAAACAGGCCCCACACGTGTCTTGTTTTATTTAATAGTAATTAATAATTAACTTTAATAATTAATAATAAATAAAAAATAATAAATGGCAACAGCTGGAGTTGAGGTTCAGCATGACAACAAGACAAGGACGAAGAGAAGTAACAACGCAAACCTTAACTTCCATTAAACAGAAACTCTCTTACCTCCTTTTTTCGTCACTTTTTTGCTTACAACATCATCATGCTTTCACTTCCTCGTTAGTGTTGTTATCTTTTCTCTCACAACTCTTCATTTATTTGCCTTCACGCTGAAACCAGTTACACATAAAAGAGAAGTGAATAATATCCAAAGGAAACAACAACAACACTTGTTTGGGTTGGTGGGTCGAGTTCAAGTTTTGATTTTGTTCACCTTTTCTGGGATTCTTTGACAGAGGAGAAGGCGGAGCTGAGTGGTGGAAAGGTTATGGCCTTTTGGTTTTGCTGCGGAAAATCTTCTTGTCGGTATGACAATAATACATGTTTTTTTGTAAACTGTTTTCTTGTTTTGGTTTTGGGGTTAGATAATGACTTCAAGTTTGTATGTTTAATTTTGAAGAAAATGAATGTTGTAGAGGATTTTGAATTCTGGGTTTAGCAATAATAGTCTTGAATCTTGAGTAAGAAGGATCTAAATAAGTTTGTTAGATTAACTGTTTTCAGCATACCAAGGTGTCTGTTTCATTGATCCTATATATACCAGACTTCTCAAAGTGTATTTTATTTTATTTTATTTTATTTTTATGTTCAAACTTTGATCTCGATTATGCTTTTCATTTTATTTTTTGCTCAATGTGTTTTGAGTACACTTGACATTAGTCTTGTTCATGCAAACAGAAGGCGAGGGAAAAAACATCCTACTTGGAGGGTGTTTTCTTTGAAGGAATTACACGCTGCTACAAATAATTTCAACTATGATAACAAGCTTGGAGAAGGGGGATTTGGCAGTGTGTACTGGGGTCAACTATGGGATGGGTCTCAAGTATGACTAAACTTTAATTTTTATTTATTTATTTACTTATTGTTGTTATTGTTACTGTTCTGCATCTTATGAAATTAGCTTCATTGTGTGCCTTCTATGATTATTCTTGCTCATTTTAGTGACAGATGAGGGTTTTTTAGTGTTACATTTACTCTTAATAATATATTTGGACGGCCTTTTATTTTTTATCCAACTGCATATTTTGAAAATGACGAACCATATGAAGGAGTTTTCTCGGATACATGTTCTATTCAATAATGACATACCTCGACAGATGTAGTACTGTCACATGATTTTTTTCATTCCTACCAAAGGATCTGCTTCAGTTGGTTAAAAAGTGTGTGAGTTGTTGTAAATCCTTTGATATCAAGTTCAATGGATAAAAAAAATGATTATTTTCATTCATTGTTGACACTTGAAAATTGAAATTGATTTGACATCCATTCCATCAAAGTATTACTCTCACCACAATATCATTTTCTTTTATCTACTTTTATGAAATAATATCTTCTTATTTTGTCTCTTTCATATTGTAGATGTTAATACTGGATGCTCTGTATCCAAAGAAACAATCATGATTAATAAATGCAAACATTGTTTCTCATAATTTATAAAATATAATAAACATTAGTGTTTTTTTTCTTCAAAAGGATTGGTAATTCAGTACAACGTGCGTGTAGCTGGCTTATACATTTTTGAACAGAGTAGAGTTCATTAGCAGTATCAATTGTAAATGACACTGGTAAAAGTAAATAATTGTATAAAAGCCATTTCTCTTCATCAATTATTTTGGCCATTTCACATTCTTAATGGCTTTGTCGGGTATGCTTTGGTAGTAAACATCTCATAGAATTTCCTTTATTTTCATCAGTCTTACTTGACATTAGTAATGATGATTCTTTCATTGTTGATGTAATAGAATCAGCTTGTGAGAGATCCGTGCCAAAGAAAAATTTTCTTTTGATCAAATTGGGGTTCAGTGGGAGAGAAGGAAGATGAATCCCCTCATTCCTCAGTGTCTTTGATTTTGTATTTCAACAATCATTCAATATGAGTCCACCAGTTTTCTTATCAAGACTTGTGAATGACCCTAAATAATATGACACCTAGCTGTTGATAACAATTTTTACTATTTATTCTTATTCCTTGCAATAGCATCGTATATAGAAGAGAGTTTGATTTGTGTTCCTTAACGGATAGTCTTTACAGACATGCGAGGATTAGATTTGACCTCATAATGTAATTTCCAAAGAATATGCTCAAAAGTTTTTGAGGAGCAAATGCTGCAAAAACCTCTCTATTCATAACATTTTATCCAGCGCTTGAGAATTGAAGCTACTTAAATCAGTTGATGGAAGACAAATAGCACATCTGCATAACCATTTTATTATTTCAAAAATCTTGTTATTTCAGATTGCGGTGAAAAGATTGAAAGTTTGGAGCAACAGAGCAGAGACAGAATTCACCATGGAACTTGAAATATTGGCACAAATACGACACAAGAATCTTCTGAGCCTTCGTGGGTACTGTGTTGAAGGACAAGAACGGTTAATTGTATACGAATACATGCCAAATTTGAGCCTTCACTCTCATCTTCATGGACACCACTCATTCGAATGCGTTCTTGACTGGAATCGGCGGATGAACATTGCAATTGGATCTGCTGAGGGAATTGTGTGAGTACTAAGGACTAACCTCACTTTTCTTTTGAGCTTATTACACTGACATTGCATTATTCCTAAACTACTTGACCACTTTCAGATACCTTCACCACCAAGCAACACCTCAGATCATCCACAGAGACATTAAAGCAAGCAACGTGTTGCTGGATTCTGATTTTAAAGCCCGAGTTGCTGATTTCGGATTTGCCAAGTTGATCCCTGACAGTGCAACGCTTGTGACCACAAAATTTAAGGGCACCCTTGGCTACCTTGCACCAGAATATGCTATGCTAGACAAAGCTACTGAGAGTTGTGATGTCTACAGTTTTGGCATCCTCCTTCTTGAACTCGCTAGTGGCAGAAGACCAATCGAAAAGCTTAGTTCCTCAGTGAGGCGATCGATAGTTGATTGGGCATTGCCATTGGTTTGTGAGAAGAAATTTGGTGAAATTGCTGACCCAAGACTAAAGGGTAAGTATGTGGAGGGAGAGCTTAAGAGAGTTGTTTTAGTTGCACTTATGTGTGCTCAAGATCTTCCTGAAAAGAGACCAACCATGCTTGATGTAGTGGAACTACTCAAGGGAGAATCTAAGGATAAATTTTCTCATATAGAGAAGAGTGACATGTTCAGAAGCGTCCTAGCTGTAGAAAGCAGTGGTGGGACATCAGTGACTGAAGACAGTTTGGACTATATCTCAGAAGAAAAAGAAATGGAACGTCCCTTGAAAGAGAATAATGAACTATGAATATTGAATTATGATAAAAAGAAATAAAAATGTATGAGTTCGAGGGGTTGAAAGTTGAATATAAGTTATGAGGGTTTATTTATTTTTGTCGTTGTTATTGCAATTTGCAAGACAACACTGGGTGCACATTGATTAGATTAGCATGGATTTGTTTAGTGCATGCGTGATTGTATGAGTGGTTGGGGTTTGTTCGTTTGTGCAGTGTTTTATTATTCTCCTTGTGGTTACCAATTTGATATCTGCATCGTGTTTCATCCTTGTTACTGTGTTGTATTGCTAGTAAGTTTTGGTGAATTGTGTCATATCAGAATTTGTCAATATTTGTTTTTGTAGTATTTTCGTTCTAAAGTTTCAGCATCATTTGACGCACAAGCGCTAGCTCTATTAAGAATTTATATAAACATATAACTTTTGTATTGTACAAAATATATGTTTACTTTATATTTATTAAAATCTATAATAAATATTTTTAATATATATTGCAATTAAATTCATACTAAATAATTTTTTCAACACCAATTATATTCTAGATTTATGGTGAATAATTTATTATTATTATTATTATTATTATTATTTTTTATAAATAATGAACAATTTACATTACTCCCTTGGGTTTTGTATAAAATAATCAAAAGTGTTAACCAGTGTTCTATTAAAAAAATCAAATGCATAATTTTTTTTTATTAAAAAGTGCATTTGTACATTTTTTTTCGTATAGTTTTATTATAAATTTTAAGGAATTTTTTTTTACATATTAATTTATTAACGGTGTTTTAAAGACACTAGTTATTGAGTGTTAAAAATAACTAATTCATCAAGACTAGAAAAATAGTTCTATAATTAATTTTAATTAATAATATCATAAATTTAGATTTTTTTCTAAAACTATCATTTCAATTAAATGATTTAAATAATTATTATATTTAATGATACTACATATAATTGAAAAGATACTTTTATATTTTCTTATCAATGAGTATTTTGTGTTATTAATAGATAATATACATACACTATAACACTATAAATTTTTTGTTGTTTATGAGTTATTTTGAGTTGAGGTCAAATTGATGAGTTAGGAGAGGATATATAAAATTTTTCTTAAGATATGAATTTCATAAGTTTATTTAAAAAAAAATAGAAAAAAGTTAGAAAGAGAAACTTTGGAGCCAAAAAAGAACCATCTTCTCTTTCGACTTCACATGTTTCTTCCATCCTTCCCCTAAGTGAGGTTGAGTAGCTATGTAGATATTCAAAGCCTCTAAAGCTAATAAGTAAGGATCGTAGAGTGGTAGTGCAAAGTTTTCCTAGAGAGTCTTGTTCTTGTTCTTCATCTTCTTCTTCCTTTATTTTAGGCGATCAAAGGTAAGGGATGAAGTGAATGTCATTATACAAGAAAAGGGATTGAATTTTTTTCTTTTTAATTTTTTTCTTTCAAATTAGTTTCTCATAAAACAAGTTGTCTAAGAAAAGACAACTATGGTATTGAGTGTTTTTTTACTACGACAACTTCTGAGTTTAATTATTTATGGTTCAAAATATTTAGTAATATAATAGTAAATGCAGCAAGCTAAATAAACAAGTAAAATAATAAGGAAGGGGAGTATGAAAATAGGATTTATATTGGTTCACCCCAACTGGACTACATTTAACACCCACATAACCTTGTGGGATTTTTCGCTAAAAACACATTCAACTACCGCACAAACTCAACCACTTGTTCATACAAACTGCTATTCAGCCACTTGCTATTAGCAACAACACTCAACCGCCTATTAAGAAAGATAGCTTCACAATCATCTACTATGAGACTATACACAACACCTGTTGTGATTTACTTTTCTTTCCTACACTATAACACTTTCAATTCTGGGTAGGAAATGTTTACAAAAAAGGGTTTATTGTGTTATTGCTGATAACAAATATCACAAGTCAATCTCCTACAATGGAGTTTCCACTAAGGAAGATATCTTTTTTTTTTCTATTACAAATTAGAGTTACGAACATGAAATACATTTCTCCAAAATATCAGAGGATGAAGCAACAAAAAGTGTAGCTTTTTGAGCTTAAGTGAATTTTCTTTTTCTTTGTTCTTGTTTGCTTTAAAATGAGACTTTTGTCTTCCATTTATAGGCACTCAACAAATAGATCCGTTGGAACTTGCTTTATTTTTTATGTTTGATGTTAACATCACTGTATTTCTTGCAATTATTAGTTTTTACAAACAAGGTGCCTTTTGAGAAAGTCTTCACTTCAAGTCTTTTGAACCAAGTTTTCAAGACAAGTCTTTTTAGAAGAAATGTTTCAATTGAAAGTTTTTGATCAACAACTTGGTGTAGTCATCCAATGGCTAGGGATAGACATTATCACCGGTGCTAATCATCAATCTTTGACATATTCTTAATTTTCCTTTAAGTTGTCATAAGGAAGTCTTGTGAATCTTTCCTTTTGTTAAATGACATAGCGTGTCATACCAAGAGTAATTTTTGGTAGACTTACTTCACCTAATAACTCATGTTTCACATCAAATTTTAAAAATTCAACATTAAGTTGAAAGTTCTTGATTCATAGATCAAATTTAAATTGACGAATAATCATAAAAATATTTTATACGTTGATTTAAATTTATATAACAAACTATCATAAGATTTTCAAAATTTTTAAGAATTTTTAGTTTAATTGATCGATTGTTGAAATTTAATATAAAAAAATGAGTTATTGAGTGAAGTAAGTCTATTCAAATTTACTGTTAGAGTAAATGAATCTTTAATCATAAAAGCATTAAGAACTTTATATTTAGAACTTGGACTATTGAGTGTATTAAGTCAACTAAAACTATCAACTTACTTCAAGAATAAAGTTTTGGTTTATTTGCTTCGTTCAATAACTTATGTTTTACTTTAAATTTTAACAATATAACAATTGAATTAAAAGTTTTTAATATATAAATCAAATTTATAATTTAAAAAAAAATTAAAACTATTTAATACTTCATTTCAATAATCATAAGAGTATCTTATCTATCAATTTGAATTAATAAAATAAAGTATTTATAATAAATTACATATATAGATAAATATTATGTTTGAATAATAAATTATATTTAAAATTTCTATAAATAGATATTTTTAAACTTATAAATGATATTTTAAATTTATGATAAATAATTTATATTATAGCTCAATTATTTATCTTTATTGATAATTTATTTAAAAATATTAAAATTTAATTGATAAATAAAATCAAATTAGATAAAAAAGTTAAAAATTCTTAAGAGTTTTCTCGTTGAAAAAAATAATAAAATAATTTTAAACAAAATTGAAAAAAATATAATTACAAAATAAGAGAGTTATTTTCTATAACTATTAATAAATGAAATATATTTTTAAATAATCGTTTTCGTCTCAATTTTTTTTTTTGAACTTTTTTGTCTATTCAAGTATACAGTGAAACTGTTATAGGCACAAAGTGCCTCGAATTTTTTAATCTATCATAAAAGGAATAAATTTTGGTAATCATCCTTTTAGTTTTCATTTTTATATTTGACACTATTATCCTTAGATTGAATAAAATTTCATTTTTCAAAAATAAATTATTATTTTTGTATTAGAAACCATTACCTTTAAATTTAACAATTTTTTTCTTTTAATTTTTTAAAATAAATATATAGAGGCACAAAATGTCTCTTTCTCTACTAGTTATTGATTGAGTGAATAACTATATATATATATATATATATATATATGATGGTGAGAAAAAAATAATATATAATAAAAATTTAATGTTTAAAAAATGTGAAACTAAAAAAATATGCCTTTATATATGTTGTTAAAATCTACTGTAGAGCTGATCCACTAGGTAAGATCGGTGAGCCTCCTTCACTGGTACGCTTGATGCTCCAATATGGGGGTGATACCTACAAAAGAGACTCCGATATTCAAGTTAGGGTTTGTATGAGTATGAATCTCGTATATGTAATGCACGTACCTTGGTGTGACTTAGGGTTGCTTTGGGTCTTGGACCTGAGATAAGATGTGATAAGATTAGATAGTGGACCTCGTTCGAAGTGAAATCCCTCGAGATCAGTTATGATCTGCTTAAATGCCGAGCTGACGTCGCGTAGCGTGTGCCCGACCTCATCTTGTGCTGTGATGCCGAGCTCCGAGCTCGACTTCGCAGTACGGACAGTACAATATATAATATAAATATAGATAAATATTTAGCTTATGAAATGGATACCCGTAAAAAAAACCTAGTTTTTAACAGAATAAAAACATAATGAAAATAATACAAAAATTGAAAAATGATTAACGAGTGATAGGGATGGCAATGGGGTAGGTCGGGTATGGGTTTCATGATACCCGTCCTGTCCCCGCGAGTCAAACCCATTCCCGTCTTTGTGCTCGTACCCATCGGGTATATAATTTTTATCCTCATTCCCGTCATGTCGTGTATCGGGTATACTCGTATCCGTACTCGTACCCATACCTATCAAAAATTATTATTTTTTATTAAAAAAACAATAATTTTAAATTATTTTTTATTATATTACAATTATAATTAAATTATTTCTCTATCTCATATTATAATAAATAATCATACATAATAAAATATTAAAATTCTTTAACATAATTAAATGGGGAGTAGGGATGACAAAACGGGCCAGCCCGACCCGTTTTGGCCCGGCCCGCCATTGGCCCGCCAAAAACGGGCCGGGCCGGCACGCCAATGTAAAATGTGCTGGAGATGCTGGCCCGCCCCGCCTAAGGACGGGCTGGCAGGTTGGCGGGCTGGGCTTACAAAATAAAAAATAAAAAAAATGGAAAGAAAAAATATTTTATGATCAAATAAATTTTTTTTGCTACAAATAAATAAATATAACCATATGAAATTAAAAATGTATACATATTGTACATAATATATGTTCAACAAAAACAAATTACAAACTTAGAACAAAATCAAATAGAAATTAGTCCATTTACACTAAAATCAAAACCAAATTATAAACTTACAAATTATTTATAAACTAAATTTTTTGATAGTCCACAAAACAAGTTTAAATACAATTAATTAACTTTAAATTTTTATTTTAAGAATATTAGAAGCTCTCTTGAAAGAAGTTGTCTCTACTTTTTTTCTTGATCATCTTCATCCTCGTCTTCTACATCAAAATAAAATTAAAAAAAATATATGCGGGCCGGCGGGTTGTGACAGGCCTGCCCGCTATTTGGCCCGACGGGTTGGCGGGCTTGGCAGGACAGGTTTGACGGGTTGACGGGTTGAAATGATTGGCCCGGCCCGCCAATTTTTTGCGGGCCAACGGGCCGGCCCACGAGCCATGGCCCACTTTACCATTCCTAATGAGAAGTAGATATTAAATTGGGAATAGGAATGAGAATGAGGACGGTACGGTACCGGTACGTGTACAGGTACGGAACGAGTAAATACATATTCATAGATTTAATATATCAGATTTTATCCGTATCTATACCTATACCTATTCAAATCAAATATTCCCCATCAAAATTATGACGAATTCAGATATTTTCCACGAGAACGGATATATTTGCCATTTCTATCTGGTGACGCTCCCCTCTCTCGTCTCGTAAAAAAATGGGCGATAATAATATGGAAAAAAAGAGGAGCAATAATATAAATTTGAAGGAGAATTTCCGACAAAAGAATCGTTGGTAGCGAACGCGCTGGAAAGCACGTGGAGCACAGGTTCGTCTCCTTTGTGGCACAGCATTATAAATAGTCCTCAATTTTCCTCCCACCAGGGAAAGCGCAGAACCTAACCCTCACGAAAACCCCTTCCCATTCTGAACGCTTCTTGTTCTGTTCCCAAACCTTAACCCTAACCCCAACCCTAACCCGCGTTGGTTCTGATTCAATTGGTATTGGAGGGAGGCGATCGAACAAGGATTCATTCAAATTGGTGGCTAGCATTGAAGAACGATGTCTGCTGCTGTGTGCGGAACCAAGAGATCTTTCTTCGAAGAACTTCCACCTTCTCCGCCACTCTCCAAGAGGCTCCGTTGCTCCTCTTCTCCGATTCGCTTCCCTCCTCCCTCTCTCATCGATCATCTTCGCCCTCTCTTTCCCCACATGGACGACCTCGTGAGCTTTCTTTCTTTTTCGCTTTTCCTTCATGTTTATTTCAATTCACTACTGCATGATTTACTCTTTCACTAATATTTCTACTTTTAGGGTTACAACTTATAATTCATGCTCTTGTCCGTATTGTTATTGTTCGTTATTAACTTGTTCCTTTCTTTTCTTTTTCTTTGGTTTTTGCTGCATAGTAGTTATAGAGTGAATGCGATTTTTAAATTTTGTGTATGGTTGAGAGAAGGAATTTTCTCATTTGATTGTGTTCGTGCTCGATAATACACTTGTAGTTTAGTTTGACCTCAAGAGCTATAGAATGCTGGCCTGCTGTTGTCAACTGAGCTGGTTATGCCTATTTAACGACCATATTAATCAATAGTCTAATGATTGAATTGATTGATTGGCCTGAGGTTTTCGACAAAAAGAATTTGTCTTAGTCACTTTTGTTTCTTTTTGTCCAAGTTACTTCTATTTTCTTGTGCAAGTTTTATCCCTTTTTGTCTAAATAGCTATTTTTAACTTTGCAAGTTTCGAGAGTATTGTTGTTCTTGTGTATTGTAACGGTTCCCGGTTCGGGGGTGGTTTGAATGGCGCCTTAGTAACGTATGGGAGAGATGGTGCCAAATGTGTCTTAGTAACGTGTGGGAGAGATGGTGTCAAAGGTGCGTTAACCGCACGCGGTAAAGTATCTAGAATGATATAATGGGCTTGAAGAAGGCCCAAGCCCACTGACTTTTTGAGGTCTTAAGGTCTCTCAACCCTAAATGTGTGGTAGAGTGAGTGATTGTGGTAAATGGCTGGTCTTACGAATGTACGTTGTGAATCCATGATCTGGCTTTCAGCCGGACGGTCCAATTTGTGATTTGTTTGTGCCATTTAAGATTGCTGCTCTTTGTGAAAGGGATATGATTGATATCGGCATCTCTCTTATCCTATAACTTATCGGTTGTCATTTTACCTTTCAGGTCCTTGAGAGAGCTCTCCAGGAATGTGGCAATGATATAGATGCTGCCATCAAGAGGCTGAATGAGCTTTGCTTGGGAACTGCAGATGGAAATGGAACTGTCGAAGAATCGGAGGTTGTCGATGCGGGTATGTTTGGATGACTTGTGCAATTGAATGATTAGGAGATTAAAAATTTTATGAGAAAATTTTGCTTTTACATGTTCTATGGTCGGATGTTTTAACTGTTAGTTAATCATGTTATGAGTACGGTATTAGTGCACCACCCCTCTATGCTGTCCTGTGCTGGGGTTGTGAAGGATAGGTAGTTGTGTTGAATAAATTGACAAATTGTCAACAGGTTGTGACAACGAATCCAGTTGAGAAACTGATGCTTTTGAGAAATTTTTCAGGTAAATTGGAAGATGATGGAAATGCTTCTGTTTCTCAGAGCCAGCCTGCTATGAACAATCTTCCTGCAGATGGAGCAGAATGGATTGACTTTTTTGTTAGGGAGATGATGGTTGCTACTAGTGTTGATGATGCTAGAGCCCGTGCTGCCAGAATGCTGGAGGTTCTTGAGAAATCAATCAGTGAAAGAGCAAGGGCCGAGGCAACTGATGCGCTTCAGAAGGTATTCATACTAGTACCATTTGAGATTCATGTTATCAACCAAACTCTGATCTTTTGCATGTCACTAAGTTAATGTCCTTTTAGAGCAACAATTCAATTGTATGATGTCATATATGCTACTGACTGGGGATTGCTGAGCTCACACTAGTACCATTTAAAATTCATGTTACCAACCAAACTCTGATCTTTTGCATGTCGCTAAGTGAATGTCCTTTTATAGCAAATTGCATGATGTATGCTACTGGCTGGGGATTGCTGAACTGAAGTAGCAGTTGGATGGTGTTGAGTGTTTCCACTGTTTGTGGAGGATTTCTACGGTTCACTTAAGCAGAGCATCCATCCAAATTGTTTATTTTAATATTTTAATTTGTGTTGTGTATTGATTTACTTTTGTAGTTTCACTTGCTTGTATTTGAGGAGAAACAAGAAAATGAACTCAAGTGTATCACATATGTTGTGTTGGATGTGTGGACATAGACAAGATTAAAGAAAGTTGGGGGTAGTACTTGTGTTGTGGTAGAAAAAATAGTAGAATTTTGCATTAGGTGAATTGGGCATATGTGGAGAAGGTGTTTGCATCTCCTTTTGGGACATTTTTGTCAAGTGAAATCTCAGCTATGAAGCATAGGACACGACATGGCTAAAGTGTGAAACATAGGACAAGGGAACATGACACGCACACATATATATACACACACACATCATAAAAGTTACTAAATTGATCAACATTTGGTAATTAAGAGATATCATTATCATTGAAAAGAAAATTTCATAATACTAGAACTTTGTTGCTTTACATAAAAAAAAAAAAACTAACAACAACTTGCTAAGATCTTTAATAAAGAGTCCCAAAAAATACTTGATAAAGGAAAATAAGAAATTTACTTATTACTATTCTATTTTTAATTTTAAAAAGATTGGTAAAGAAAAAGATAACTGTGTCTATAACTGTATCCAGCCATTTAAGGTGTGTTTGAGCCGTGTTGAAGCCGGAAAAACAAAAAAAAATCAAAAGACACCGCAGAAATGTGTCTAACACGTGTCGGCTTGTCAACAGTGTGTTGGTCTCAGAGGTGTGTTGGACACCTTGACACCTCTGTTGCTAGACGTGTCGGTGCTTCCTAGAATCTCGGTCCTTAATTAAAAAAGCAGAGAGAATTTAAATAATAAAGTAAGGGGAAATGGGATTTTGATGGTGGGGATTTTTTTTGGGATAAAATCCAAGTGAAAATATCAATTGAGAGAATCTATTCCTGTGTAGAAGACATGGTAGAAACTCCAGGAAGGATAGCAAATCAAATAGTTTGGTCTTATAAATAGAGGTAGATGGAGATCAAGAAAAGTTGCAGGCAAAACCATTAACAAGGGTTTAAAGGTCGATGGTTTGTCTATGGATATGATTTATGATAGAATATTATGGCATTATTTGATTCATGTAGCCAACCTCACCTAGTGGGAAAAAGGCTCGGCTTGTTATTGTTATTGTCATTGCTTATATGATGATAGGCTTCAACTTACTGTGCTTATACAATCTTTACTATGGATCTTCTTCAAATAAACATGCAAAGCATCTGATTTTCTATCTATAATTTTTAATGTGTTTTCATTTAAGGAAAGTTGAGTATTTTAGAAAAAAAAAATGAACTAGTTGTCAGAATTATAATGCTTAAGCTGCATCTTTGATTAAATGATTTTATTATCTGAGTACTGGGTTTTGGGTGGTCCATGATTTTAATGATGCAGAGTTGATCTCTCTACACACTTGTACACTGATGTTCTTATATCCTAGAACCTAATGATTTAGGAATTTATGTATAATAATTTTCCTGGCTAAGCATGTATCGTAATTGTCGCCAGATGTTTTCATTTTCAGGAAAATTTGATGCTGAAAGAGCAAATTGAAGCCTTGATTAAGGAGAAAAATTCTTTTAAAAATGCTTTTAAAATCCAGCATGAACGTTATGCTGATTATGATGTTAAGAACCAAGAGTTGCAGCATTTGAAGCAATTGGTGTCTCAATACCAGGAGCAGATCAGAACTCTTGAGGTCTGAATTAGTTTTATCTTTATCTTTGTTTTATTCACAGTCACGGATTAAAATTAAAAATATAATTATGTTTTAAAAATAGTTATAAAAAGATTGCAAATTAAAATATAATTGCTTAAATTTTATGTTTCTCCTCATCATACGAAGAAATAGAAGGGGAGGAGATTATGTGACTGCATAAATTACAGAAACGACTTAATGACGATATTCATGGAGATTTGTGGTCATTCCTGAGCCTGACGCAGATTTTTCTAGGATACTGATGGCTAGTAATGCATCATTTCCTTGCACTTGCTGTCATGACCTTGTCTCCATTTGGGGTTGAAAGTCAATCTAGTAACCCTGTTATCTATATAGGTTTACAAGTGAATGTTGGAAGTTTCCATTCTCGGTCCTCTCTCAATTTTCTTACTTCGTTTGGAAAGGGGGAGAGCCAAAGCTCAAGTATTGCATCTTAACATAAGAAATTAGTTTACAAATTAAAATTGGTCCATTTTGAAATTTAGACAAACAGATTAGTGGGGAAGTGGTGGGTAAAAGATCTAAACTCTAATATGAATTGTGATTGTTAATGTTTTGCACATTAAAAATTGTTTTTGTGCATGTTGATGATGTCTGTATCCATGGTTTTTTGACAGGTGAATAACTATGCTTTGGGAATGCATTTGAAGCAGGCTCAACAGAGCAACCCCTTTCCTGGGCGCTTCCCTGATGTCTTCTAAAATGAATGTGTAGAATGTCATAATAAAAGGCAGCAAATAGCTGCATCAGGTTGATTAATTATGTCGTGACTTTTTTTTCCTTTTTATTTCCTAAAAAAATCAAGCGTTGTTGTAGTTTGCCTAGCTTCTGTTGGTCAGAGCTTGATTTCTGTTTTTATAGTCGAGGGTTATTCCATTCCATCATATCAACATGGTATACAATTCGACAGTATAAGAATATTTGTCAGTCAGTTCAATTACTCCAGTTATGCTCATTACTGAGATTCCGACATTTGCCTAGTACCGTCCCGATTGAATATTGGGTTAAGTTTTTAAATCTTTTATTGGTTCAAAAGAAATGATCTCCTTTAACGTTTTCTCGTCATAAAAAAGGATATTTTTTTCAAATTAAGTTAAATTATATGTACAACATCGGAATTAGAATTTATATATTATTGAAACTAAAAAGTAGGAATTAAACTAAAAAATTGTAATTATAATGTACATCAAATATTATGAAATTATGTCAATTTATTGAAAACTGTTCCTTAAACTAGTTTTATTATCCGTTGATGCATCTGATTCATAAATATGAGCTTGAACCGGACTATTACCTATTAACAAATCTTTCGTGAGGGCAATGTATGTGTGGACTAGCTTGTCATGTATGGAGTAATGCAAAGGATGCTTCTTTCATTTAGAATTGTCTTCTCTAGTTATCTTCATCTGTTTTAGGTGATAAAATGTGTGTAGTTTTTCTAAGATATTAACATGCTTGTTTCCTTTTATTTTTTGCCAGATCACTACATTTGTTATTGATTAGTTACTACAAAGCGAAAGATTAAATAACATGCATCAAAATGAGTTTATAATATATTTAGTAATTAATATTTTGTACATAAATTCTATATACAAAATATAGTATTAAGAGTAAAGTAAATCTTAGTGTCAATTGATATTTATACAATATATCACTACATTAGAGTAGTCATTGATAAAACTAGTCACCTTCAATGTAATTGTTCTCTAATTGTACAAGTTATCCTACTAATCATGTCTTACTCTCATACCAAGTATGATCATCGCAATTTTAATCACAAGAAAAATATAAGGTAAGTTTGTGAAAGAATTTAACATGACAACTTATGAACATCATTGTAGCAAAACATTTCAACTTAGAATAGAACACCATCACCATCACAATAGTTCAACAACTTAAACATATTCATCATATCAACATATATATCACATCTAATGTTTCGTCATATATATCAATTACAAAGATTTCTTACAACAAGAGGTGAATAGTTTAAGTGGCTAGACCCTATTAAACCACAATAGTTGGTATAAAACCAAAAATAACAGTCGATACTAAGGTTAGAAACAACAACTAGAATAAGGCTAGAAACAACAGCTAACATTAGCTAGATTGATTTGTTAGGTTTTGCCACTTAAACTAGGAAGTATGGTATTAAGTCAAGATAAAATATTTTGGGTATGAGTCTACCACAACATTAGCATGTAACACTAAGTCACCTATGTGATTAGCCCACTAACTACCCTCCAAATACCACAACCCTTCGATACTAGATTAGAGACTAAGTCTTTGATTTGGTACTTTACTCGATTAGTCACTTTATAAATGTGTGCCTCGACTTTGTCCACACACAGATATCACATAAAACCTAGTGGGAACAATTGAAAAACAACTTATCCATCGAGGACAACTTATCCATCCAGAGGCCAACTTACCTACGGAAGGGTTTCAATTGAGCTCTTGAAACACTGCAACGTGGCTGATTGACCATTATAAGTTTTTTTTTAAAACTAATTATGTAAATGGAGCTGTTTTGAAACTATTTACACATTTAGGGTTGTTTACTATAGTGTCGCTATGGGCCATATCGACACTAGTGCCACATGTAATTTTTTTAGAAGCCATGAAAGTCATGCTGTAAAAGTCGCCACAGCCGGTAACGCTTCAACTAAAGTCGCTACAGAGAAACCGGCTTAATGTTATATCTACAAAATCGCTACAGGCTATAATGCTAAGAATTTTTTTAAAAAAATAATTAAATGAAATCGCTACCGGCTATAGCGCACTAAATAATTATTTTTTTAAAAAAATTATTTAATTAGTATATAATAATGATAAAAAAAAATGAAATTTATTTAATAATTTTTAAGACTAACATAAATTGTTAAAAATAAAAAAAATTCATTTTTGAATTTAGTTATTTAATATAAAAATATAATTATAAAATATATAATTATAAATATATGTATATATAATAAAGTAAGTAAATTTTTTTACTAACAACAAAATATAAATTTTTCATAAATTATTAAATAAATAAAATTAATTTATAAATATTAATTAAATATATTAAACATAAAGTCGCTATTCTCCCTACTAACACATTTGTTTTTTTAAAATTTATTTTATATAATATGTAAACATATTAAAAATTTTAAAATATTAATTTATGTTTTAAAAAATGAAGGTAATATTATTTAAAAATTTTAAATTTAGAAATAAATAAATAGTTTTATTTGTACGATGTCATTACAAATTAAAATGCATAAAAAAAGTTTATAAAAAAGTTATTAAATAAAGTGGCTACAAGTTATAGCGATACTAATTAATTATTTAAAAAAAAACAATTTAGTTAAATTTTTAACATATAACATTTGTAAAAAAATTAAATTTATTTAGTAATTTTTAAGACTAACATAAATTGTTAAAAAATAAAGAAAAAAATCATTTTTAAATTGAATTATTTAATATAAAAAATATAATTATAAAATATACATATATATATAATTGTAAATATTAATATAATAAAGTAAGTAAATTCCTTTATTAGAAGTAAAATATAAATTTTTCAAAAATTATTAAATAAATAAATGTATTTATAAATATCAATTAAAAATATTAAACATAAAGTCGCTATCTTCCTTAGCGACACATTTGTTTTTTTAAATTTATTTTATATAATTTGTAAATATATTAAAAATTTTAAAATATTAATTTATGTTTTAAAAAATAAAGGTAATATAATTTGGAAAAAATAAATTTAGAAATAATTAAATAATTTTATTTGTACGAAGCCGCTAAATGAAATCGTTATAAGCTGTAGCGACACCAATTAATTATTTTTAAATTTATTTTAAAAAATATTAATAATTTATTTTTGGTTGAGTAAACTATTTTTAATTATTTTTAAAAAATCTTATTTTTTGTAAATTATTAAAATATTTTAAATGATTAATTGTTAAAATAAATATATTTTAAAATTATCAAAAAAATTATTTTTAAAAAAGTTGAGCCATTTGAGATGTTGAAACAATCAATGACGACACTACTAAAGTCGTTACAACGGGTAATGACTTTTGCATGGCTAAATTCAAGCCGTTTTTTTTTTAAATACATGTGGCATTGGTGTCGCTATAGCTCATAGTGACATTATAGTAAACAATCCCAGAGGTGTAAATAGTTTCAAAACAGTCTCATTTACGTAATTAATTTTAAGAAAAACCCTACAATGGTCAATCAGCCCCGCAACGTAAATTCACACAATAGGATATTCTAATTTCGAAAACAACTTACTTCCCTCTAGCTTTTATGTATCGTAGCTAAGACATGTATCTAACTCATATGCCTATAAATTAACAACTTAACAAATTTATCATTTGTACAACATGCAGCTCATATAACGTTCAACTTTCAACTTTACAACATATCAACTTGAAACAACCTAAATAACATACATATCTACATCATGAGTAACCTGATAGAACAATAACATAAATCAACTTAAAACAACTCACAACTTCACAACATGTTCAACTTACTACATTTCAACATGTATATTCTCTTAAATCATCATTCATACAATTACATCATCATAAATCAATTGTTAACCCACTTAAACAATCAACTTTACATCATAAAACTCATTCACCATCAATAAACTATAAAACAATATTAAATAACAATTTTTCATCATACAATTCATTCACCATCAATCAATTGTAAAACAACATTAAATAACAACTTTTCATCATACAACTCGTGCATAATGCTACACATTAGGTGCTTGGTACCATTGAGGCAGGGAGCTCCTTGTCTTGCCCACGCTTGGCATTGCACCATTCGCACCTAACGTGATTAAGACAAAGAATGCCCCACAATCTTACGTTTAGTGTGACATCACCCACACCCGATCCTAATCAAATAAAGAACTCTTTGCCTGACTCACACTCGACGCCATTCCACCAACACCTAATGTGAATTTAGACAAAGACCAACCTTTCATCTCACGCTGAACGTCATTTAACCCATGCCCGACGTGATTCTAACTCGAGACAAGTCCCTCTCTTCACGTTGGGTGCCATTGATCTTGCACCCGACGTGATTGAGGTACAGACCTCTCTTTGGAATCATGTCTGGCACCATGAAGGCGTGCCTGGTGCAATATTAGGTTTTGCACTTCTGTAAAACTCGATTTTAGCCATTCTCCTAAAACTCAGAAATCCTAACAATATGCAATGTGTAAAGCAACATTTATACAGCTTGTACAACATGATTTCATCATTATAAACAACATGCAACTACAATCAATCAATAATCAACTTAACTTCTCCTACTTCACTTCAAAGCCACAAAACCCTTTCAACTTCACCTTTTAATCATTGAATACCTTTAAACAACTCATTCCAATCATCACAACAACAAAAGCACACCTAAATTCGAAACCATAGCTTCCCTTACCTCTTAGAGAAAATATGCAAAGAAGAGAAGGAGAAGCACCTTAACACACCACAATCTTTAAGTTTTGACCTCGAAGCTTGGATTCTTCACCACCTCTCCTAGAATCAATTGAGAAAATGGTAGAAAATGAAGGGTTCGAGTGAAAATGAAGAAGAAAGAAAGGAAAAGGAGGAGGAAATTCTTTCTTTAGCTTCTTTCTAAAGTTCTTGAAATTTTGAGTTATGAACTTCCTTTTTGAAAAATTTTCTTTTATATATTTCCTAAGTCAACTCTACTCTCTGGTCTAACCCTCCAAAAATTAATGTGTTCTCAAGGTCTCCTAACACTAGAGCTCTTAATAGCAATTGTCAAGTCAAACAACAAGACTATGAAATGACAGTGTTATAATAACAATTTTAGAAGAGTAAAAATAAAAAAAAAATATTTTACAATAATAATTTTAGATTTTAGTAGCTTATGAAAAGTCAAAAAAAGTTAAAATTTGTCAAAAAAACAAAAACTCACTTACTAAATAAATTTATTTTAGTGTGACTAATATATAAGTTTATTAAATGCTTTGTAACACTCTTTAATATCAAAAAATTGTGACACGCTTGATAAACAATTTAGTCTTTTAAATATATAATTAGAGGTTTGATCTCTATTTGATGTGTATGGAAAATTATTTATTAAGAGAGATCAACTTCTTCTCGACAAATCTGATGGATTGGTGTAATGATTAGATACCCTACAATCACAAGTTGTGGATATATTTTAGGAAATTTTGTGTTTGCGAAAATTCATTATGATCGTGACAATTACAATATTGTGAGTGTTGAAAAGATGAACAAAATTAATCTTTAATTCATTGGGTTGAAAGATACTTGTAATAAAAAGAAAAAAAAACTCTGAAAAATTAGTTTTTATCTTTTCATGCTTGATTTTTTTTAAAAAAATAATCTCCTTAATTAATTCTATTTTATTTTATGATATCATTTCATTTTTTTTATATAAAAACAAACTCGTTATATCATGAATAAGATGAAAAACAAGATAAAACATTAGGGAGGGTGACAAGATAGAATTTTAGAAGTCCTCACCAAGCCATAACTACTAAATTTACTTGCCTTCTAAAAAAACTCAAACAATGCATCATTTAAAAGTACTTTTTATTTAATTGAGATTTAGATTTTATGATTATTTTATTTTTATATCAAACTAGTATTTTAACATATGTATAAATCTTTATTATATGTAACTAAAATTTATGATAAATTATATATATAAATAAATATTATATTTAAATATATAAATCATAATTAAAATCTGTATAATGAATTTTTTAAAATATATAAATTATATTTTACATGTATAATAAATAATTTATATTGTAACACAATTTTTATTTATAATAATTTATTTTAAAAATATCAAAATTTAATTTATATATAAATAAAAATCAAATTAAATAAGAAATTAAAAATATTTTAAAAACTTTTTCATAAAAGAAAAACCTCTTAAAAATACTATTATTTATGATAAAGATTCATGTTTAATATATAAGAGTTGATATTTGAAGTAACATACTGACTCCGGTATTCGTCTTATTCGTGACAAGCATCGGCATTAAATATTTTCAACACATTCTTTAATTTTCGCACACAAACAACAATCAGGAACGGTGAGTGTGATTAGACATATTAGTTGGGTGATTTTATTTCTCTGTTTAGTTTTTGAAGACAGGTACTACCACTAACTTCACTCTTATCTTTATGTTTTTCTCGATGCCATAATAGGGGCAGTTAAGGTAAATTGTTTTATTCTGTTTGTTTTGGATTTTTTTATAATAATTGTAACTTGTAAGACTGCATTTCTTCCTTTTTCCTCTTATTTTTTTTATGTACAAAACTACAAATAGACATCTTGGTTTAAGAAAATGAATAACTTGAGATTTATGCTTATCATACACCCACATGGCTGATGGCTGTACTTTATCATCAGCTTAAATGTTACCTAATGTCATCAATTAATTTAATTTTTGGTAGCTTAATAGGTGAAGACAGTTGAAGGCATTTCTGAACTTGAAATACCTCCTGGTACCCAACCTGGAGATGTCCTTGTCCTAACAAGGAAAGGTGCACCAAAATTAAACAAACCACCAATACATGGTGACCACTTGTTTACTGTTAAAGTTACAATACCAAAACGTATCAGGCAATATTTTTTAGCACATTCGATCTTTTATAAAGAATGTCATTCGTTAGGCCACTTGCAAGTTGCATAGGTATGAGAAAAGGTAATGTTCTAATATCATGTTTTTCCAAGTATGAACGGTTTCACAGCACAAGAGACTATTTTGCACTCAGTTGATTAGTGAGAGGCTGAGAGATAAGATTATGACTTTCTTTGATAAATGCTGAACTTGCAGGTCAGTCAGTAGCTTTCAAGTGGCTGAAAAATAATTTAGTTCTACGAGTTTATCAGGTGGCCTCGTGTCTCTACAAACCAGTTTCTCTAATTGAGTTTGAGGCTACCGCTTTAACAATTTTTGTAGCATGTGCAAGTAATATTTTGTGGACTTTCACTGAATTGTTAGCTACATAACAAAATCAAACAACTAATGCATATTCTTCTATTTGTTTTACATGTAAATTTGGACACATGACAATTTATACCCAATTTATTTGAGGATCTCCAAATTGTAAATCAAACAAGAAATAATGTATATTCTAATTTTTTTTTATAATTATTATCGTAAAGATCTACTTTATTTGTAGATTTTACTAGTTTCTGCAATACATCAACTCCTATGTATCAAATATGAGTGATTATCTTGTATGAGTGTTTTTAAGAGACTTTTTTCGACAAGAAGATTTTTAAAATTCTTTCAACTTTATATCTAATTCAATTTTTATTATTATAATTATTTATGAATTAAATTTTCTAATAAATTATCAATAAATAAAAAATTTATATTACAATATAAATTATTTATCATAAATTTAAAAATATAATTTATAGATTTAAAAATATTTATTTATTTAAATTTTAAATATAAACATTTAACCTGTACATTGATCCGACTAATATACTAGTTACTTTATTATTTAGAAATAATAATGATAATTTTACGACCACTGCAACTAAATCTCTGTTAAGCCAGTTTAAGGATAAAAGATACACATTCTCGGTGTTGAATTGGGTTGTAAGTAATTGAGCACATTTTTGAATATACTTAAAATATTTAGTAAGATTCAAATGGTTGTAAAGTAAGGAATTGCCTGTCTCGAACCCGAAACACACCAATGATATTACAATGAGCAGGCTGAAAAATTAATAGTTGATGCTGTGAAGAAAATGAAATTGCTAAAATATATTATTTTATGCTTTAACTAATGAAACCTTTTATAGTTTATATCATTTAAAAGCATTCTTAATTCTTTTTTTAAGGGCAATAAAAAAACATTCTTAATACTTAAAAACCAAAAGGGTCTAATTAGATTAGTTGCATTGTACATATTACTATAAACCTCGTAATAGTAAACTTAATTTATATAAATTAAAAAAATAGACAAATTTCAGTATTAGCATGATTATTTAGAAGAAAAAAAACTCATAATAATTAAAATATCTCGATAACTACCTCAACTTTAAACTAAATTATTTAGAATTTGTTACGTTTTTTTAATTAAGCTTTCTAAATACTTAAAACATTTTATTTATTCATTAACATAAATAATAAACATTGATATATGCAAATATCACCAAAAGTAATGAATATTTAGTGACTGAACTTTTTTAATAGATAGAAAAAAGATAAGGAACCCATGCGATTGTAATTGAAAGCAAAGTTATAATAACATTTAAATAACATTCAATATAAAAGTAAATCCATCATAACACTCTTACATTGGTTATAACTTAAAAAAAAAAAAAAAAAACACACAATCTAATGGTCCAACCATTAATAGCTCAAAATTCATACACTACTAAATATATTTCCAAGAAAAACACTAGCATAAAATTATGAATTAGCCTCTTTAAAAAAATGTGAAATTTATAAAATTGTTATTTCTAATCAATTTTAACTAATAATAAAAATCGTTAAAAATACATTGTTAGGATTTCCCTATTTCTACTATCTCTACACAAGCGGCAAAAGCAGCCTTCATTTAGAAGGTTTGACAGTTATGTCCAGCGACAACTAATAAGGAAGCAGCATAACTTGTTTTAATCTAAGTCATAAATCATTCCTTAGTAGATTCTTGTTATGAGTACAAGATAGAGTATGCTCTAATGACCATCAAGTGTCGCCAAAGACTCGTTAAGGAGCCTCCGAGCTTCTTCTCTCCTCCTGCAGACAGAGATTATGTTAGAAAAGACTAATGACAAGAACGAGTCAAACATCATTTAACATTCTGATCCTCGGAAGACTCGTAATCGATCACATTTGTCCGTATAATATAGAAATCACCATTTTCATTCCTGAAAAATGAAAATATTAATTTAGTCCCTACAGAGGACTAAATCAATGTCAAAGGAGGACAAAAATTGCCTTTTTCATTTTTCAGGACAAAAATAGTGATTTTCAGTTACCTCTACAGTACAACTGAATTGAGATCAAGTGCTAGTGTGAAAACTATACAGATCACAATAAATGGGCTGAATCAAGAGTTCAGACCTTAGATTATTACAGCACTATACACTTTAATGATAGTAAGCACAATGAAAAATATGAAACCAACAAGGATGTAGAATGGATGGCTTGGATGGGAGTTAGAATGGGATTAAAATGGATAGGGAAAAACAAAACTAGTCCCTTTACAATTCATTAAGAATGTATTAAAAGAATTCAATCCATCTGACTCAAAAAAAATTACATTCATGGTTAATCATTTTTCATAGATGGATATCCAATCCATTCATTCAAAAAGAAATTAAGTTATACTTTTATACTCTTCGTATTTATCAACGAAACTTTTCTCAAATATTTATCTCCGAACAAGAAATGTTTTTCATAAGAACCTAGAATGGATCTTTATGACCATCATTGATCCAATATCTTGACCCATTGGTTTAAATAATTCGGTTGATGGTTTATTAACCATCCAATAATAATTGTTGATCCAATCCATTAGGTTCCATTGTTATGGTTGGATCATATTGGTTAAATTTATGCATGGACGAATTATTAGATGGTTAGTGAATATATGGATGCAATAACCGCCCCCAAAAACCAACTACATTGTTAAAGGATATCAAATGATAGAACAAGGACATTTCATTATGTTGGTACCAGAGCAAAAGATTCATAAGGGTTCGTATGCAATTAAAGAAACAATCAGGAGATATAATACTATAACAATCAGGAGATGTGATAATATAATATGTACCTCTTTATGTCCTCCACTGCTTGTTTACGGCGCTGTATCTGAAGTTCCAAAATGTGAATCAATGTTGCTCTCGCCTACAGAGTAAATACTATAATTAAAATCCAGACAAATGAAGAAAACAAAACAGCAGCATGCTAGAGAAAGGAAATTGTATAGATAAATGTATACCTGATGAGGACGCAATGAATTTAAAAGGTGATGTAAGTTCTTGAATATAGTTGAAATTTCTTCAACTCTCCTTGCATACTGTGAAGGTCTCTCGATAAGAATATCAGCAAGCTCCAAGACGTGTAATTGCAACTCTCCATTAAGTGATCTCAACTCCTTCTTGAAATCTACGTAAGATCAGAATCTTTTACTAAAGTATGGAAGATAAAACATTTAAAGAATCTTGTAATGGTTACACTGTAGCAACTTATAATGAAAGAGAAAATAAATTATGGACATTTGACCCTTTTGAAATCACTCACTTTACTTTATATGACATAGATGTACGTTGTACATATCATTCTGGAATATTAAGAATTAATGCATGTTACGACAAACAATATTACAACAGTAGTTCAACTTGTAATATAACAGCCTATAAAGTAATAAAATCAATACACAATTTGAAAAGTCAGTGCATGCAAAGTAGTAATTGATATTGTATGTGCCATGTCTGATCGTTAGCAATTCCTCTTTCCCATATTGAAATTTTAAATAAATGGTGAAAATGTTATTATTTAGCAACATTATAATATAATACTTCCTACATGTGGCAACAGAGTATACAATAAAGCTAAAAGTGAGTTACCTACATTACAAAGCAAGGAATCAGCAGAGGCATTCAAAGGTTAAAGCAGAGTTCATAATGATACTACCAGCTCTCTCGTGGAGCAAGAAACAAGTCATATTTACTTGCTACTCTTTTCGGAAAATAATTACTAGATAAAATCAAAATAGAAAACCATCATAATAGAAAAAGCAAAACTATTTTTAGCAACTAATATGGTCATTCCATAACATCATAGAATCAAATTGCACATAAATAGAGCTAAAAAATGCCTACCAACATTAGGCCCCTTGGAATACAGCTGGCGCACCCCTTGTTCTTCCAAGCTTGGCAGAACATCACTAGTCTGTGTGGAAAATAAACAAAGAACAAAAAAATTAATTAGAGGTAGTCATGCCAAGACTTAGCAAATATTGCATATCAAACCTACAAGAAAAACCCCATTTTACAACTCTAAATTCAACCACTCACTAATTCCTACTTTAAAGTTCCTACTTAAGAAAAATGGCCTTAAATCATTAAAAATAACTAAAAAGAAGAAGAAAAAACAAAATAGGTTTATTACAAATCAGCATGCCATCCAATCACAACCCTAAAAGTTCAGTAGACGAACTGACTACATAGAGGTCATATTGAATGAGTAAATTAAAACAAATTTTGACTCCCACATAAGCTGTTTCAGGTTTCATTTCACAACCCCAAAATCGAAAGTCATAAAATAAGCATCTACAAAAGCCTTAATAGATAACAATTTCTTACTAAATTAACTTAGATGTACAGTTAAAATTTCATTTGGGACGTGCTTATTCCAATGCCACTGCACTTGCAACAACAGCAGAAGCATATTTTAACAATATTTCCTCAAAAATAAAAATAAATAAATAAAAGTAAAAATCCTTACAGTGTAAGTGCCTCCAAAGCAAACGTAAGTCCCTTCAATAGGAGGTGGAGGCTCAGGAGCAGACTTAGGGTCTTGCTTGTAATCTTTGTAAAGTCTGTAAAAAGGTGGCGGTGGAGGGTATGTCGCCGTTGCCATAACTAAAACCTAATATACAAGTATCTCAATTTCAATATCTGCATCATTAAATTAAAATTTATAGATATAAATAAAGAAATGTGTAGGAATTAAATTTAATAAAAAAAATGAAAGAAGGGAAAAAGATATGGAACATCTTAATTGTGTGGTGAGCAAAAAAAATGTAGAAAACATAATCCTCTACTGAACTGTACAATGGCGGTGGTTAGAAGTGTAAGCTACTTCTATGAATAAGATATGGAGGTGGATAAAGCTCCTGTGAGAATGATTTGGCTTATTTTAACATTAATGGCATAACAGATACTTGGTATTTGCTTTGAAGATGAAACAGAACCCATTAACACACGCACGCTTCCAATTATTAATTAACAGAAAAAATCATAAAGTGAGCGATTTCAATTGAAGAAGTCGGGGGAAACACCAAAGTTGGAACCTAAAATACTCCATCTCCACCAAATTGGTTAGGGGGAAACTGAGTTCGCAATAAAACTGGGAGGGTGTCTCAAATTGAAGCTTCCAAATGAAACCAATTTGAGTGATTTGATGAGGGATGCGCGTAGAAACCCTTGGTTAATTCATTGGTTGGGCATAACAAAATGAAGGAAAACAAAAGAAAATTGCGGTTGGAATTATATGTTACGAGGAAAGAAGAGAATGAGTGATTGCATTACCTAATGGCTAGGATGGACGAAGCACACAGCACTGCGAGCGACTCTCAGAGAGAAACCAAAATTTCGACACTTATAGGTTAAGACTTTTCTGAGAAATTGAATTTGTAACGCTTAAAATCCTTTTTCCCATTCAGATCATATATATATATATATATATATAT